ACCTAGGGAGGATTTTATTTGGGGTTTATCTTTTAACAATTTGACAGAGACACAACTTTAAAATTTGATTTAATTCGGTTTTATCGGGGGGGAATGTATTTATGTTTTGTTTTAAATATGTTGTGCGCCGCCCTGAGTCCCGCTGGGAGAAGGGCGGCATATAAATTAAATTTATTATTATTATTATTATTATTATGTGCAAACAAGGAATGCAGTTTTAATTTCCTGAAATGGCTGAAAGTTGTGGAGGAATGAATGAACAACTTACACTCCCACAACATAAATACACGTGGTAAGAGCAACAGTCTTGCTCTGTATAAGTGCAGCAAAGCTGATCTGGATAGGTACAGAGAAAAATAACCTTAAATTGGCATATTAACAAAATAGGTGTAAACACATGGGTGCTGATTCACTCATTAATGTTCCAAGGGCATTCCACAGTTTGAAGTACCCAGACCTCCAATTACCTATTAGTCCAGCACATGTGAAGCCATAGGGCTTGGGCAGAAGCTTTGTCTAACCCCACCAGAATCTTCCATGTAGGTTTCCTGCTTTACGTTGACAGGAAAAGGGGTTACTGACTCTACTGTCATACAATCTTAGCTTATCTTGCTTTGTTCAGTATCCCACTCAATCCCTCCTTGATTTGACTTAATAAGAGCCAAGCCTAGCAGGATATTGCAAAAGGACCTAGCAGGATGTGTAAAAAGCTAATATTGCTATTTAGTTCCTACAGTAAAAGAATCTATTTATACACTGTTTCCTGTAACAATTTTTATGGTGATATGGGCATTTTCACTTCCTAGGATAGAGTCTCCTAGAAGTAACTGAGTGTGGTAGAAGTGCTTATGTTTGGGCAAGTTGTGTTGCATCCTATAAGGGTTATTTAATATACATACTTCTTTTTATTATATAGCATAAAGAAAATGGCAGAAAAACACACACACATCATTTGATTGCTTGGTATTCGTAAAACAGGATCAAGTTTTCCACTTCATATAATCACCTATGTATATTTGTACTGAAATCAAGAAAAGACAAGGAAGAAAATTATATTTATAGTGGAGTCTAAAGTCCTGGACGGTCTGATCAACATGATATTGACGAGTAAATAAATTCTTGAAATTTTCTCTACATTACGGAAGTGACACGTCGAAATACGAATTGTTCTAAAAGTCCAAAATGACTGACAGACCATCATTGCAGGATGTGTATTTTTCATCCAGGAAAATATAAACAGAGCAAGCCTTTGTGTTTCCTAAAGAATGAATGCATAGAACACCATGAAAATATCCTGCTGATGTCCTGTCTAAAGATGTATTTTGCCAATATTAGAAAGAAAATATCAAAGAATACTGCATTCTTGGTACTTTTCTTCTTGCTGCTGTCAGGTGTGTGTGTGTGTGTTAAATGTCTTCATTGTTATGGAGTAATAATGGCTGCAGAGAGCCAAAGATATGCCTAGAGTCACTGAAGATATTTTACTTCTTTAAATTCAAACTACATATCTAAATATCTGAAAATCAGTTCATATGTTTGGCTATGAGAAAGACCCACAAGTGATTATACAATATCTACAATATAATGGTAAATATTATGCTATAAACACAGTGCATAGCTTGTGAAAACAATCCTATATCAGCCCATAATAAATAAATACAGTAAATGTATTTATCAGCAAGAAAGTTATACAGTAAATCCAACTACCTTGCATATAAATTTTGAATTAATAACATCAGTGGGCAGGACTGTGCCATGTATTTGAATTAGCTTTAACTGGATTAGACTAGGGTATCTAATGTTTTAGACAGCTAAGCTTTTCCCATGTTTTTGTGTGTGTGTGTGTGTGTGTGTGCGCGTACGCACGAATCAGTGCATGTGATATAAGTGCTTCTAGTATTCAGGTTTCAACACTTAATGTGTTGTGTCTCTAGAGCATTCTTTCCATTACTAGTCTGGTAGGCTGAGGGTCAACTACATATAACCTGAACATGTGATTATCAGCTATGTCCAAATCAAGACCAGAACAAAGGTTAGCATAGAATTATTCATTCTTTGCCTCTTCTGCAGTTCCTTATGAGAATGCAGGAAAAAGAGCCCTGCAATTTACATTGTCCAAAATTATTAATTTGTTTGATTTGATAATGAATGGGATGACAACAGAGGCCGAGAATCTGAATAGGGTATAGAAGCAACTGCATTTCTTGTGGTAGATCCCTGATCTGGATCAGATTTGAGTATTTGCTTATATTTGGTATAATATTGTTATTTGTTGTGTTTCTAAACAAACTTACTCTCTAAGCATGACTCACACATAGTGAATTTAATCACAGTTGACTCTGTTAACCCATTTTCATGTTTGTACAATACACTGAATTTTAAATATCAAACAGTCTGGGTTTTTGCCCCAAGCTAAGCTAATATGTAATTGACTACTTTATATCCCAGGGTCTCATGTTAGCACACCTATAGCTTTAAAGGCAGTATAGGAATTACATGCAAGGGTAGGGTATACTGTACTTGAATTAGGTGTTTTCTTTAAGTATCCTTAAATAATGAAGCACCTTGATGGCTGTACCTCATTGCAGCATAGAGTCCTGCATACAGTCATGCAAGTATGTTAAGCCAGTGGTTCTCAATCTTTTCTTCACCACGGACCTTCTTTAAATACTTTTTGTGGCCACGGAACCCCAATACTTAACTTAGGATTTAAATCATAACATTTCTTCAAGCCTTCACGGACCCTCTGATGACACCGTGGACCACCAGGGGCCCGCAGACTACAGGTTGAGAACCACTGTGTTAAGCAATGAAATGCTAGGTAGGTATTGCAATGTGACAAGGGAATCATGTCATAAGCATAGGGTTAGATACATTGATACTTACTAACTTCCAGTTCAATAACACTCCACAATATCATGAAACAGCTCCATAATTTTTAATTGCTTTGGATAAATTCATTTTTTGTAAGATCCACAAGTTCCTAATCAGATATATCTTATACATCAGGGGTCTTCAAACATGGCCCTTTTATGACTTGTGGACTTCAACTCCCAGAATTCCTCAGCCAGGCACACTAGCTGAGGAATTCTGGGAGTTGAAGTCCACAAGTCATAAAAGGGCCAAGTTTGAAGTCCCCTGTCATACAGCTATTATATTTGGATAGCCACTATGCAGCAGCAAAGGTGCAGAAAAAATTCTAATTCCTTGTTATGTTCCATGGATTGTTCAGATTTTCACAGCCCGGATATGGCACCTTTAGTAGCCTGAGCTCATCTTGACTGGAAATTCAGGTTTACCAGTCCTTTCCTTGACCTGCATAAATTCTAAATAACTTTTGTCAGAGATAGTTGGAAGCTGCTGCATCGTGCTGCGTCCATGTGCTCATTACTTCAGTTGAATTTGAACATTTGCCTAATTCTCCCATTGAAAGTGGGAGTTAAAAGTGCCTGACTTTGACTGGATTTTGTGCATTGATTTAAAATGAGTACTTTAGTAGCTTCTGATTTTATTGCTATATGAAAGATTTGCCCAGAAGTGAAAAATATTATGTTTCAATACTATCTAGGTACAAAGAGTAAAAAACCTCCAAAGTCCCTTCCAGCTCCTGTCCTGTCCTACCCTACCCTACCCTACCCTACCCTACCCTACCCTACCCTACCCTACTCTACTCTACTCTACTCTACTGCAATTTGTAATTTTTTAAATATAAATGAGAGAAGAAAGAGTAGCAGATTGAGATGTCATCAATTAATTGAGGTGTAATGTTTTATTTGATATTAAAGAGATGTTAATGTAACCCTAAGAAATTTTAATTAGAAAAATATCCATTGTGTTCAATGAGAATTAATGCTCATTAAATTGCTTAGGACAGCGTATGTTTTTTTTTTCATATTTTCAAAAATGATAATATTTAATGTTTTACAGATAGACCAGAAATTTTTTACTCCTAATGTCATCTCATTAATAATGCATGAATTTGGGATCTTATCTGGGGTTTATAATGAACCGGAACATCAGATTCGTTGCCAATATGTCACATATTTTATGTTCTGATTTCTTTGTTTATCTCAGCATAAGATTTGTGGTAACTATCTGGAATACGAAACTTCAACACAGCTCCTCTTTGAATTCAAACTGAGTTATGGCTGACCCTGTCAAATCCTGACAATACTAGGAACCCTGTTTCTGCAGGTGTTATTACAAGACATTAAATCTATGATTTGGCTCGTCCTATTATTGTTGTATTTTGGGCTACTGTCAGTGGAATTGTAAATACAGTGTGTGATCAATCACTGTATATTAAAGATGTATATATATTCTTCTTGGCTCTATCCCCAGTATTTGGTATCTATTAAAATATCAAGAATTGTGATTGGGCCAAGGGTATGGCTAAAAGAATGACTATAGAACACTGGAAATAGAAATCTACTCCTGAATTACAGTAATGTTTGTTGATATGCAATGTTTATCAGTATTTGAATCATTTGTTTGTTTTGTTTGTTTGTTTATTGGACAAAGTGCCAAAGAAAACTTAAGAGCCGTATGATCAAACTTTCTGTTTACTGTATTACATATGTTTGATGTTAGGCATATATTGACTATAAATATGCCACGGTATTACCAGTTTCTCTGCCTGCTTTTAAAAGAATATAAAGTCATCTGGCTACTCCGCTGTATAAATAACTGGAATATGATTACAAGTGAGTTTGTATGTTGTAAGAAATGCCGTATTTGGGAAACAGCTCTTCTTAATTTCTCTTTTTCTCTCATGTCCGTCTGACTCCTCCCAGCAGATTATTGACAGTGAGAATGAAGCTTTGCTGGCAGCTCTCACTGAGACACTGGATGACATTCAGGAAGAAGACATGGGTCTGGCTGCCTTCAAAAATATAGACGAGGAGGACATGCCCAACAGCGGCTACACCTCACCTATCCCCTCTCCCAATCCTGCTGCACCAGTCACGAGGGGGCCTCCTGGGGCCCAAGAGGTTGATGAGCTGTCTCTAGTAAGAACCACTTCCTACTGTTTAAGGTGGATTTGGATGCACCTCTGATAATCCGGCTGCATGGGTATGATAGGAAGCAAAGGTCTGAATTTTTTTCATTATAGGCTTACACTTATAACAGTACAAAAGCATTATATCTATTATTGTATACGTATACATGTGCCACGTCGTTGCTCTCATTTGATCTGCTCCGTAGTAATCCTCATCGGGAAGAATATGATTGTGATGGAAAAGGAAGGTGGGGCCAGTGCATAAAAGGCTTAAGCACAACACAGTACACAGTACATCTGGTCCTCGACTTACGACTGGTTGCTTGTCCATTTGAAATTACAACTGAGTGCTTTACACCCCACAAAGCCCTTCTGGCCATCATAAAATGTGCCACATATCCCAGTCCCCATATCACATGAACCCATTTTGGCTGCTTGACAACCGGCTCGCCCTTAGAACCAGTTGCATTGTCCCATGATCACGTGAGTGCAATTTGCAATGAGTTTTTTTTTTTTGCTGGTTTCTGGCATTTTTTGCTGGTCTCCGGCAAGCCCATTCAGAAAAATGGGTTTGCACTTACGACCATGGCATTTGCTTAATGACTGTTGAGTCACTTAGCAGTCACAGTGATTTGCTTAACGACCACCACAGAAAATGTCATAAAGTCATGTCTTGTCACATGGGTACCTTAACTTACAACTGGAGTGACATACAACTGGAAATCCGATCCCAGTTGTGATTGTAAGTCGAGGACTACCTGTATTCATTTCAAATACTATCTACTCTAGGGATGCCCACTATTCAACATTTTCTCTCGTCTCTTAAATTTTTCCTTATGTCACACTTTCATGTCTGTTAAGGAGATGCACATGATTCTGTAAAATGTGACATTTACTTTGCATGAGTAGTCATGACATAGGGCAAGCTGCTATGCAGTATTTTCTCTAAAACCACCAGTTCTAGTACAATAATTTAATAAATTGTTCTGAGATTTTATAGTCTCAGCTAATAGTTGCCTCTGGCCAATCATGGCTGGTCTTGGAAGCCAAATGAGATAAAACTGAACTAATTAATATTTGGATGAGAGATCATCAGATATCACTAGGAAATACAAGATACCACTACTGCTGTTGCATGGTTTTGTCCATGTAGTCATCAGAAATTGAGGTTAACTCAAAGATGTCTTTAGCTCACATAATGCCTAATTTCCAAGGGTCTTGAAGCTTGCTTCCTGTAAAGGAACTTGTTTTCCCAAGGAAAATTTACATTTGTGGGAAATGTTGAGTTCTGGATTGAGGTATGCACCCCAGTCTTCTCTCTTGAGGTAGCAGCACTCAGAACTGTATTGGGAATTTATCTAGACCAGTGATGGCGAACCTATGGCACGCGTGCCAGAGGTGGCACTCAGAGCCCTCTCTGTGGGCACACCTGCTGCCACCGCTGCCAGCTTGTGCAGGCCCATTAGGCCACCGCTGGCGCCCGGAGAAGCAGCCCCACCCAGCACAAAGGTGAAGCAGGTGGCTAGCAAGCTCGAGTAGAAGTGGTAGAGCACACCCCCATGTGCTCGCTGGCCTCTGTGTGCAGGGGCTGATGGTGTCAGACAGCAGCTGCCTCGCCTTGCCCCACAGCAGTGGCACCCCCACCCTTCCCCCTGCCTCACCCTACAGGACGAGCCTCCTGCCCACTGCCCCACCCACTAGAGACCCCCTGGATCTCCCCCAATTCTGCCCAGCCCCCACAGGCCTCCCCCCATGAGCAATATCAAGGTGGCCACACCCACCCCGGCCACACCCACTCAGTCTGCCATGACCACCACAGCCATGCTCACTTCTCTGCCCCCTCTGAGGGCATCACAATGCTGATGCAGCCCTGGCACTTTGCGATAAATAAGTGGGTTTTGGGTTGTGGTTTGGGCACTCAGTCTCTAAAAGGTTCGCCATCACTGATCTAGATAGTGGGCCTTCTGCAGTTGATTTTCTGTGGTTTATATTCCTCAGTACATGGTATTATTAGCCAACCAGCAGGTAAGAGCAAAGAAAAGAGCATTATGGATAACAGCCTCTCTGCTAATAGACAATATTGCTGCTTGTAATCCAGGTTAATAAGGAAAGACCATTATGGAACACCAAAGCTTCAATGTTCCTTAATGTTCTTTCCCAAAATATGCTTTTATAGGACAGGGGCATTCTTCACTTCAAGCAGAACTTTTGCACAGGAGAACAGGAACATAGCTGTAAATTCCAGCCTCTCATCCAGCCATCCCACTTCCCTATTATCTACCATTAATGAATTTTGTGATTTCTAAAAGTGTTATAGTGGCATCTAGTGGTAAGAAGTACACATTTCCATGTCACAAAATTCCCTGTGTATTTCTCTACATATCACATATATATATATATATATATTGCACAAATCTTTATGTATATATATATATATATATATATGATGTATACATTGTACAAGAGAGGAAATAACTTTTTAATGTTTTATTATTGTAGAAAGTTTACAACTAGAGGATCAGATTAGTATTGCACTACATTGTATTAAAAAGAGTTTTAACATTTTGATTATGGGAACTAATTGAATATTTGTCATTTGGACAATCCTTAAAGATTTGCTTTTCTGACACATCCCCACCAGAATCAATGGTTGGTTAAGGTTTCCATGTTGCCCTCAGTGAGAGAGTGGGGAATGTGAATTGCTATTTTTTAAAAACAGATATTCTGGTCATGTACGGTAATCAGAAAAAATAGGTTATGTTATCAGTTATTTTAAAATAATTTTCTCAGATTTGGGATTTTTTTTGATGGAATATAATATCTGTTTTATAGACATCTTAAGCTCACCTCAAACTAAGGAAGAAAATGTATCTTTTGATTGCTTCATGCACTGTTCAATTAATTAATTGAAACCCTTGTTAGACTGTTACATTCAATTGATTTCTTTGGCAGGAGCTTATGCCTACTTCCTGATTCATAGTAAAATTAGCATCTGAAAATAAATCACAAATTAGGACAAAGAGGAAGGAGAATATTCCAAATTTTCAGAAACCAATTTAATACCATCGGCCATGAGTCTGGAAACCTACCAGCAGCCTTTTTAAACTTGGTTCCTCTGAATGTGAGAACAGCATCTTTTCACAAACTGCTATTGAAATTGAGCTATGGCTATAGCTTTGGCTCAGCATATCAAAATATGCTAAACTTGAGAGGCTGTTTTAAACTATAAAGGCATGTTTTTTCTCTCTTTGTGACTTAAAAAAGGAGTCGGAAATTTGAAACTTTCACACTGGAAAATATTCATTCTCCAACCCCACTTTCTACTTGTTTGTCTCTAGGCTGAAGAAAATAATATGCTACATACTTGTATTTAGCTTAACATTCAGCTTGGCTAGTATTCAGCTTAAAGGTCCCATGAGGTCAATGTTGAAACATAATTCTACCTCAGCTACTATGGCTGGCCCACAGCATACCATCCCTATGTTGGCTTTTTAGGAACAACTTCCAAAAATTTTAGGAAGTTTTTTGGGAAAGGACTTGCAGAGTATTTTGAAAGCATGACTTCTAGTAAATTTAAAAGTACTAGGAGAAACTGCCTTCCTTGTAAGGCAGAGGTGGGGAACTATGGCCCTTTTATGACATGTGGACTTCAACTCCCAGAATTCAGGAATTCTGGGAGTTGAAGTCCACATGTCATAAAAGGGCCATAGTTCCCCTCCCCCCCTTTATAAGGTGTAACTTCCAATTCTGGCAGTTAACCTGTTTCCAAAAAGTTGCATGATCTTTATATTGTCAACATTTTTTCAGGGCGTATTGAGATAATATATAATTCCTACCTTTATACAATTATGTAAAATAAGTTTTATTTCTTGCACCCATCAATGAAAGCTTGCTATGACTTTGAATTATTATTATTATATACATAAAAATGTATATAATGTGAATGTGAAATCATTGTTGCCAGTTCTTTAGCTGGTGTCAGCCTCCATATGCATTGGGTTCTCCCTAAGAATTTGGAAGACCATAATGTATCGGAGTTACTATTTTTATTATTTTCATGGGATGGCAAGTCAGATTAATTGCAGCAATAAATTCAGGTTTTGTTTTTTTTGTTTGGCTTTGCCAAATTATTGCTGGCCTTTAGTCTTCCTGTGATGCATCTTCCTCGTGATCTTGATTCATATGATCTTTTATCTTTTTTTCTGGATGTTAAGGAAAATGATGAAATTCTACTCATGTTCAGGGGAAGGGGACTTCTTTCTTCTCTGCCACTTTCTATAATGGGGAATATCCATGGAACCATTCCAAATCTTTTGAGAATTTTCATTTTATATGGAAGAAATGAGATGCTCTTTGCTACTGAAAGCTGCCTCCTAAACATAGCAACTCAACTACCATACCCTTCCCTGACAGCCATGAGTATGATTTTGATATTTTGATTTTGATATTCTCTCTAATATATGAAGAAAGGGAGGATTGTATGAATAATGCTAAAATAAATCGGGGGGGGGGAGATAGGCCGTTAAATAAAGTATTTAACTAACACTGTGGCTTTTAGTTTGGATCTCTACCTCACTTATCCTATGAATGTGTTTGAGTGTAGGAATTTAGGAAACTTAAAAAGAAGTGACTACTGTTCATTTATGTAGAAATTTGTACTCTTTCTTTCACCATTTCCCTTTCTAGCTGAAGAAGTTGCTTCTCTCGCCATCCAATGTGCCTCCAAGCTATGAGGTTCAAAAAGAGGGGAATATATGGCGTCAAGGAACTCCTAAATCCAGACCTCAGCGCTCCTGTACAAAGGTATTGTTCTTCTTGGCAGCTATAGCTTTACATAACAGTGGACTACGTTTATGTGTGATGTTGAAATTTTTGCCAGGAATATTACAAAGTTGCCATATGTTCAGATTATTGGCAGTGACTCCCCAGAGTTCACGTTCCAGGTGATGTTTTTCCTCTTCATTTCACCTTTATAACAGACCAAATAATTTCTGCCACCAAGAGCTCCTATGAAGGTTGGGTAGTTGTTCTCTCCATAATCTGTAGTCCTCCTTCCCCTAAGTTTCTTCTCATAGGCAAACCATCACAACAACCAGTTGCTTATTTCTTTCAAACTCTTTAAGAATGGTGCTGGGAATGTTGTTCTGCAAGATAGTTCAATTCTTTCTATTTGATCCACCTGAAGATTAAGGGGCATTAGAAAGGCAGACTTTGGATAAGTCATGCCAAAAAGATAGAACTTGGATCCTTCTGTATATAACAGATATGTCATTTATTATGAACACAATGTACAAAGTGATAGAACCATCCAGTTGTTAAAATCAATTATTTAAAATCACACAAGAGGCCATTAAAGGTTTTTCACTTGGATGAAGGAAATTGTGCAGTGTATTAAATAAATGAATTTGGATTGCATAGGGAAAGATAAGAAACACGGGAGGACAGAGCGTAATGAAAACTGGGGTGGGGATAGATATTAAGCCTCCTGTGCCTAATGTCATGTTTGTTATATATGTCACATGGACAGAAAATTGACTGAAGAATCTCTGCATACCATACCTCTCAAATCTTTAAAAGCAGCTTTTTTAAACCATTCTTTTCCCTCTTGTTTCTCCTGCTAGTTCCTTTGAAAATCTTCTGGCCTCTACTCTTGATTTCTGAATAAGTTTAATGTATCTCCACAGCTTATACCTTTCAGGTGTCAACGCTGCTAACATCGGATGTTTTTGCATTGACAACAGATGGAAATGCAGTCATATTTTTCCTTTCGCTTTTAGAGCTAGATGATGCTGGGAGGAGGGGATGTGAATGAGAGTCCAGTTAGACATAACAATACTAAACTTAGCCTGAGAATCAAGGTTATTGAGCCCAGAGCTGATTGGCGGGCTGGAGAGCTGGAGAAGAAGCCCATGCTTCAAGCTAATTGGGGAATGTGATTTATGACAGTTAATTGGAGGAGGGAATTGTTCTTTGATACTATGTGCCCAGGGGAGGGGAATTCAGTTTTTGGCTTCGATTATGCAGTGCCGATATTATGCTACTCGAATAAAAGATTCTTTAGGTAAACAATGCCTCAAAGTTTACCTATCGGAACCACGACCTCAGGTTTTTCTGCTTCCTGATATAGACAGACAGATAGATAAGAAACAAAGATAAGGACTTTTTTCAAAGTAAATTTCTATCTATCCTGTATTATGCACAGATGACCAAAGGTCTTTTAGGGAATCTGGAAAAGCATCAAAACATTAATCCTGATACTGGTTTCCAAAGACATATAACGCATTACAGTTCAATAAATAATCTGTTTTTTCTTATTGCTGTGTTAAAGTATAAAAAAATTGGCTGACATATTAGTATAGAAAAAAAGCTTGGAAAACTATAATTAAGGATCCCCCTACTCTAATTCATTCTCAATGTCTTAGGTATATTAACCTATCTTTTGTACAGATTACATTCATCTATACAAATACCTATTTTATGAAAGGAAATATTGAATATGGATGTTTAAGTGTATTTCTCTTTAAGATTACATATATTTTGTCTTTTTCTTCTTATTATTTTAAGTCAATTTCATTTTTATTGATAGTTTCAATTAAAATGAACTCAAAAGAGTGGCTAGAAGGACCAAAAGTATATGGAATTTCAGAAACTGGAAATTAGCACTCACAGCACAGGGGTTACTTGCTGGGTTAATGTGATTCTCCTCTGCCTTAAATCTTTTTAGCTGCTGAAATTGGTATGTATATACAGTATGAAGCTGAGCTGCAACTACTGAATTATGCATCACAGCTAAATGATTTGTTTCTTGCCATTGCCATCATGTCTGGGCAGCTTGGGAGATACCTACTATACATACACACATAAATATGTGTGTGTATGTGTTGTTAAATGCAAAGGTTGATGCTAGGCACGTTGCCAAACAATCCCAAACAAGCCCTAAGTCCTCTAGTAACGCTATTGCATCCCCACTGATCCACCTTTCAGACAGTATATTTATGCACATATCTTTCACTGCTTTAATTTCCTAGAAATGAAAGTAAAGGAACTTTTTCCCCTACAGCAAGAGTCTTCCCACATTGCAGCTGTGTTTCCACTCCCCTCCATTTTCTGCAACCACTTATGCCATTCAAATTGCAGGATTGGAACTTATGCAATGAAAACAGTGAAAGGGAAAGTACTCCCATCGCTTGGCACTTTTATCAGCTGTGCCCGGTCTCAAAAGGCAAAGAAAATAATCAAAAGAAGCCAACTTGCATATACAATGCTATGGAACTAAGCCCGTGATGAAAGATAAGAGATTCCTGCAGAGATGGGTGGATAATGACCTAATATCTTCTTTGATTCAGGGTATAAAGCACCTCCTTAGGAATCAGAATGAAAATTCAGCCCATACTGTGCATAAATGCTTATAAAAACTATACTTTTCAAATATGGCTAACAAGTTCAAAATACTATAACACACAAATGTGCAAAGAGGGGAAGACTGTTATTCCCAGTAACGAAACAATATACAGATGCAAAAGCAATTCTTGAGGGCCTTCTATTATGTCTTTCTTTCTATATTAGTCCTTTAAGCCCATATTTATGGATGTGAAATTATATATATATTATATATATATATTATATAAATGTGTTTGGCCTGGCTGGAATTTTCAAATGATTTCTACAAAAACGTTGGCATTCTATTCTATTTAAAGTCATTTATTAAGCACCATATAAAATATATATATACATATATACATATATACATACATACATACATACATACATACATACATATGTATATATGTATATATGTATATATGTATATATGTATATATATATTTTATATGGTGCTTAATAAATGACTTTAAATAGAATAGAATGCCAACGTTTTTGTAGAAATCATTTGAAAATTCCAGCCAGGCCAAACACATTTAGTTTATTAGAGCAATGGTTGTTCCAGTCTTCTTTGAATAAAACAACATGCACAATAAAATACAACTCTTACACAATTAAGTGCACTTAAGAAACAAGACAATTTTCCACTGTACTTACAGAGTCTTTAGGCAAAATCAGCTTATATGATTAAATCGTGGGAGCTATGAGTTACATTTGTTGGTATGTGAAACTGAAGTACTAGTATACAAGGGCAGTTATGATGTAGTTGCCGCTATTGAAACTTGGTGGGATGAAACTCAAGACTGGAATGTAAGGATATAAACTGCTCAAAAGAAACCAACGTAACAAAAGAGCAGGTGCAATTGCATTATATATGAGAGATCACTACATCTCTATAGAGATGCATAAAAGCAAGGATGAAAGCCTCCTATAATGCATATGGGTTAATATATAAAGAAAAAAAGAATGGCATTGCCATAGGTGTATACTACAGGCTATCCAACAATGCAGAAAAATAGATGAACTTTTTGTTAGTCAGTTAACAAATGTATGTAGAAAACACACCAAAGTAGTAATAGGGGGCTTTAACTACCCTGACATCATCAGGGAGACAAACTCTGCACCAAGCAGAAAATCAATCAGGTTCCTGATCCCTCTAGCTGACAATTTAGTCATCCAAAAGGAGAGGAGGGAACCAGAGGGACAACTATACTGGACCTAATTCTTACTTACAGAGAAGAACTGATAAGGGAGTTGAAGTTGCAGGACGTTTGGGGAGAGTGATCATGTCATATTGGAATTCAATATAATGCAGACACAAATAATAGAATATAATAAAACCAGTGTCTTAGACTTTAAAAGGCCTTATTTCAACAAACTTAGAGCTTGGGAAGTAGTAGTAGTAGTAGTAGTAGTAGTAGTAGTAGTAGTAGTAGTAGTAGTAATAAAGTTGGAAGGGACCTTGGAGGTCATCTAGTCCAACCCCCTGCTCAGGCAGGAAACCCTATACCATTTCAGACAAATGGCTGTGTCCAGTCTCTTCTTAAAAACTCCCAGTGTTGGAGCATTCACCGCTTCTGGAGGCAGGTTGTTTCACTGGTTAATTGTTCTAACTGTCAGGAAGTTTCTCCATAGTTCTAGGTTGCTTCTCTCTTTGATTAGTTTCCATCCATTGCTTCTTGTCCTGCCTTCAGGCGCTTTGGAGAATAGCTTGACTCCCTCTTCTTTGAGGCAGCCCCTGAGATATTGGAATACTGCTATCACGTCCCTCCTCGTCCTTCTCTTCATTAAACTAGACATACCCAATTCCAGCAACCATTCCTTATATGTTTTAGCTTCCAGTCCCCTAATCATCTTTGTTGCTCTTCTCAGTACTCTTTCTAGAGTCTCAACAACTTTTTTACATCATGGTGACCAAAACTGGATGCAGTATTCCGAGTGTGGCCTTACCAAGGCATTGTAAAGTGGTATTAATACTTCACGTGATCTTGATTCTATCCCTCTGTTAATGCAGCCTAGCACTGTGTTGGCTTTTTTGGCAGCTGCAGCACATTCCTGGCTCATATTGTCCACTAGGACTCCAAGATCCCTCTCACAGTTACTACTATTGAGCAAGGTACCACCTATACTATATCTGTACATTTGGTTTTTCTTGCCTAAATGTGGAACCTTACTTTTTTCACCATTGAATTTCATTTTATTAGATAGCACCCAGTGTTCAAGTCTGTCCAGATCCTCCTGTATCTTAAGCCTATCTTCTGGAGTTTTGGCTATTACTGCCAGCTTGGTATCATCTGCAAATTTGATGAGTTCCCCATCTATCCCCTCGTCCAAATCGTTGATGAAGATGTTGAAGAGCACTGGGCCTAGAACAGAGCCCTGGGGCACCCCAGTACATACTTCCCTCTATGTAGATGCAGTTCCATTGAAGACCACACACTGAGTATGGCCGGTCAGCCAACTACGAATCCATCTGATGGTGATGCTGTCTAACCCACATTTTTCTATCTTATCAAGTAGTAGGTTGTGATCTACTTTATCAAATGCCTTATTGAAGTCCAAGTAAATTATATCCACAGCATTCCTCTGGTCCACTAATTTTGTCACTTGGTCAAAGAATGCAATAAGATTTATCTGGCATGATCTGTTTTTGACAAACCCATGTTTGTTTGTCTCTAGGTGTTCACTGATTCGTTGTTTGATTATCTTTTCCAGAATCTTCCCAGGTATTGAGGTCAGGCTGATAGGTCTATAGTTTCCTGGATCTATTTTTTCCCTTTTTTTGAAGATGGGAACTACATAAGCTCTCTTCCGGTCCTCTGGTAGTTCCCCTGTGCTCCAGCATCTTTGAAAAATATAGTTCAGTGGTTCTGAGATCACATCTGCCAGTTCTTTGAGAACTTTGAGGTGTAATCCATCTAGTCCTGGTGATTTAAACTCGTCTAGGATAGACAGGTGCTCACTTACCATTTTCCTGCCTATCTTAACTTGTGTTTCTAATCTGTTTTTTATGGTTGGTCTGTTTTTGATAGGTTGGTCTGTTTTTTCCCTTTGTGTAAAGACAGATGCAAAAAACGAGTTAAATGGTTCTGCTTTCTCCCTATTGCTTGTCACCTTCTTGCCACTTTCCCCCACTAATGGACCAATCATTTCCTTAACTTTTTTTTGTTCTTTACATGCTGAAAGCTTTTTTTGTTAGTTTTGACTTTGGTCGCAAGCCTTAGTTCATTTTGACCCTTAGCTTTCCTCACTTCATCTTTGGAGGCTCGGGCTATTTGTTGATATTCTGCCTTAGTTATCTGCCTCTCTTTCCACTTTTTATACTTGTCCTTTTTATCTTTCAATTTATCAGAGAGTTCTTTATGCAGCCATGCTGGGTTTTTTTGAGAGCTGTTATTTTTCTTCTTTGTTGGTATTGTGCTAGACTGGGCTTTAATTATCTCACTTTTCAAAATTTCCAAAGCTTCTTGAGTTGTTTTCCCCTTGAGGATTGTCATCCATGGAATCCTTCCCAAGCTCTCTCTAAGTTTATTGAAATTAGCTCTCTTAAACTCCAAGACTCTAGTTTTACTGTGTTCTATTGCTTGTGCTTCCCTAATGTTGAAAGCTACTTTCCTCCTCCACCCTCCTCCTCCTTAACTCACAGATTGTAGCTTTTTCCAGCAACCTCTGGGCAGTTTAAATGCAATGGAGGTCCAATCAGCAGGGGCTCAGCTACTTTCCTCCTCCACCCTCCTCCTTCTTAACTCACAGTATTCCATGGATGAAAATTGTAAAGGGGAAAACAACTTGAGGTTGGGAAACTTTTGAATATATGATTATAAAAGCCCAGTCCAGCACAATACCACTGAAAACCTTATACCATTCAGGACAAGTGGCTGTCCAGTCTCTTTTTAAAATCCTCCAGTGATAGAGCACCCACAACTTCTGAATGTTACTTTCTAGAAGTAGGTTGTGGTCTACTTTGTCAAATGTCTTACTGAAATCTAAGTATACTATATCTACAGCATTTTGCGTGGTCCATTAATTTAGTCTCTTTGTCAAAGAATGACACTTGTTAGTTGTGTTAAATGCTTGTGCAAGCTGCAATTTCACTCTGTTCCTCTTTGACATTGTTTTATGGATCAGAAATCAATATTCCTCTTTTTGTTGAGAAGACCTCCCTGGCCATGGTGGTGAGAATTGGTTGCCTTATTGTTATTTCATGCATAAACCAACAGCATTTACACAATAATATCCACAATATTATATAAAACATAAACATCTCTGTGGGAATAGAAGCTGAATTTAGAGAAATAATAAGCAGCCACCAGAAAATCAGCTTCCGCAAATTCTCTGGAAATAGAATAGAGCCAGGGTCCCCAACCCCCAGTCTGTGGACCAGTACCAGGCTGTGGCATGCCAGCAACTGTTCTTTCCAAACAAGCAAAGATCCATCCGTGAGATGCAGGCAACACACAAAACCCTCTGGTCCGTGGAAAAACCTGTCTCCACGGAACCGGTCTCTGGTGCCCAAAAGGTTGGGGACTCTGGAGTAAAGCATATTACTTGTATCAATGATTCTGTCTCTTAAATTACTTGTTTTTGAATTAAAGCCAGAACCTTCTGTCATTTAAGTGATAGAGAAATGTCATTAAGAATGATTCTTCCATTGTTTTATTACCTAATATGAATCTATGATGTTTGATATGGATTGCTGAAAAAAAAATCATACCCTGTTATCTTACTACTTTGTCAGCAATTAAGTACAGGCATTAAGTCTTGAAACAGCCGTTCTTAGGGATATGAAATATGTAAAGATTTGAATGACCTCTGCTGTAATATCCTCAACCGCCTAAAGTAAAGAAATGGATAATCTTTGGATGTCTTTTTGATGTAGCTTCACTTCCTTTTTTCTCTGCCTTTGAAGGTGGAAGGAGTCCAAGACAGAAAGTCAACTTTTCCCCAGGCTCAGAGTCGGAACTGCACTGAGCTTCATAAACATCTTACCACGACCACCAGCAAACACTGCCTACACAGAAAAAACAGTGGGCTACTAGACGAGTGTCATGCTGACAACATTAACACCTGCTCTGTACCCCAGAGACATTATATCCAAAACAAAGAAGAAAGCAGTTTAAGTAAAGATGCCTTGAATTGCAGCAACGTTGCAGTGCCTCCTCTCTCTTCCTCTGAGAAAAGCACTGGAGACAAGGAACTTCACGCTGCAGTGGAGCTTATCCACTACATGCATACTTACTGCCTTCCTCCAAGAAAGCTGCCCCCCACGCATCCTGCTGAGGGGAAACACCAGCCTTTTCACAGCCCTTCCAAAAGAGCAAAGCCAGATTCCCCCCTGCAGCAGCCTCCACTCTGTGGGAATGATAATTGCCCATCCAGTCCTTGGTACTTCTCCATGCACTGCAAACAATCCCGAACTCCGCTTTCTGAATTTTCCATCCTGAAAGAACTGCTTGCCAGAGAACTCCCATGTGATGTGAGTAAGCCATATCGGTTAGCAAAACCTGTGTACGCCTCCTTGGCCAGGTCACAGCTTCACAAATCTTCAAGAACTTCACTTCACAATGCCGGGAGGGACTCTTCGGATGGATATAATAAGCCCGCAACCAAAATAATACCAGAAATGAAAACTGAGCTGAGACAGGTTCTCAAAGTAGAGCCCGAGGCTGAAAAAGAAACGGTGGAAGAGGATAGTGCAAAACAAGGGACTCACATGGGTCAGGGATCCTATGGGAAGACAAGCCGCAAGCAGGATACCTCTATTTATGCAGTGCGTCGCTCTAAAAGGCTCAACCCTGAGCTCAGCGTTTGGCAGTCTTTCTTTGATAAGCCTCCCTCAGAACCTGCAGTGTCCTCAGTGACCACAGCAAACCCATTCGCTTCAGTAGAGCCTGCCCTCTGCTCATCTTTGCAAAACTTTGATACAGACGCACCAGCAGCAGAAGTAGAAGTGAGTGGTGCTGATGAGACGGATGGGGGATTCCAGAGTTTCCCAATGGAATTGCAGACCCCTTCGCCGGAAAGTTCTAGGGAGAGTCAGTGCTTCACCCCCTGTCATCAAACAGGTATGTCGGAGAGGAGAGCCCTGCCATTCTGTACCCAGCATTTCTGGAAGAGAAAAATATGCCTTATCACGTTAAGACAATAACAGATTGCCAGTCCTAGCATTCTTCAAGAATTCTGCCTGGTATGATGTGATCCCATATTCTCCTAGATTGATTGAATATCTTAAATATTGTTGAAGAGAAATTTCTTTCCCCAGACCAGATACATAGATCATCTCCTATAAAATTGTGTATTGAAAAAATAATGGGAAGGTGGCAAAGAAAGAGTTTGGTTAATTGAATTGACCCAGGTCTGACAAGAAATAGATTATAGAAGCTCAGTATGCTTGATATGAGTCACACATTGAGGAAGAAACAAGAAGGTTCTGAACTGTTGTGTTCCAATTGTGTCATAATACATCCACTCAGGACTCAGTCATATAGGGTAGGAAAATAATTCCTCCATGTCTGTTGCTAAATTAGGGACAGACACGGGGAAAACTGAATCAGATTACTATTTCAGCATTGAGAGAGATGATTTATTCTTTTCCATATGATGTTTCCCAAAGCTTCTCTCCTCTCTATTAATCATAGAGTGCCAAGCAGACAATAAAATTCAGTGTGGTGTGGTGGATCATTTCAATATGAAAAACTGCATGAAAGAAGAATTAATCTCTTCTTCATCTCCAATACAATTCATCTACCCTGCTCTGGTTCCAAGTTTACAAAATAGAAGATAAACCATGGCTCACCTCATTTGACCATAATCTGCTTTCTCTCTTACTAATCCAGTTTGTGGGCGGAGATATGGCCAATTGAATAATTCTGCTTTTCTCTGTTCTTTGTTTCAGAAGCACCACGGTGTCTGTCATTGCCCTTGGCACAAACGTAAGTGCAATACCCGAAATATATCTTGTGAAAGGATGATCTCTCTAAGTGTCAGAAGCCAGAAAATCTGGCAAATGGCAGTCTCAGAATTTTGCAATCCTGATAACCAAGCTGCGCCTTCAGTATTGTCTGGTTGATAACTATCCTTATACTAAGCTGCTTGTGTACTAAGAGGACTTCTGGCGCAGGAGCTTAATGTCAAAATAATCCACTACTGGGTAAGAACTTCATAGTGCAGCTAAATATTTTATAGAACGGGAGATGCAACACACCCAAGAAAGACTCCAAATGCCTTGTCTAGAACATAAAGCCCCATTAAGGATACTGGAACTACTGATATTATACATATGCATAACTGAATCTTTATGACAAAAGTCACATCAAACTTGGGATGTTCATCACAGGCTGCATATTATAGCAAGGTTCCATCATTGCTAGATTGTTTTCCTATAGCAGGGAGATTTTAAGGGGAGGAAATGCATGGACAGATAGACATTAACCTGGCAGTGATATGTCAGTGTTTATATAAAACTGTATTTCTGTATATTTCAATAACAAAGCTAAAGAAGAATGAGATGTTTGGATGGATGAAGACTAAACACTGAAGAATTTAAATTACATAGGATTACTCCATACAGAGGCAGTTTTCTTTATGCAGAAAATCTCATTGTTTCTGCTTTCAGAAACTTGTCCATTGGTGTGCCAAAAGGCTTTATTGTTAACTAGAATGAACCTGAAAGTATAACTTGCTTTCTTCTAGTTCTTCATGAGGATAACATTAGCTGAAAAAATGTGCCATGTTAGTAATAAGATCTCTGCTATGATGCAAATATTTATTTGCAGGAATGTCTTTTGGATTAGTTTGCTTGCAGATAAATGGATGGTTTTTTTGCTGTTTGTCATTTGTGAATAAGTAAGTCTCTCCTGGCAACCATTTTGTGACTATACCAGCCACATGCTCACAAAATTTCAAATGTGCCCCTGACTTTCAAAATTTGTTTACTTGTAAATCCTTGTAATACACTGTGAGCACAATTATTAGGCAAGTTGTATTTTGGAGGATTAATTTTCTTATTGAACAACTACAGTGCTCTTGGTCAATCCAAATTTTAATTATCTCAGACCTGAATATTGAAGAAAGTAAAAATAAGATTTTAGCTATCTTAAGAGAATATCTATGTGTGCGCAATTATTAGACAACTATTAGTGTGCAGAATTAGTATGCAACTAAATGAAAAATGAAAACTTGCCCATCTCACTCATTTATTTGCATCTGTGAGAATAATAAACGCAACTCAAAATGTACAAATAAACATTTCTGACATTTCAACAAAAAAAAAAATCAGCGACCAATATAGCCACCCTTCTTTTCAATAACAGTCATAAGCCTTCCATTCATAGAGTCTGTCACTGTCTTGATCTGTTGACGATCAACGTTTTGTGCAGCAGCAACCACAGTATCCCAGACAGTGTTCAGAGAGGTGTACTGTTTTCCTTCACCGTAAATCTCCTGTTTAAGAAGGGCCCACAAGTTCTCAGTAGGGTTTAGGTCAGGTGAAGAAGGGGTCCATGTCATTATTCATTCATCTTTAAGGCTTTTGCTGACTACCCATGCAGTGGAGTGCTTCGATGCATGCGATGGAGCATTGTCCTGCATAAAAATCATGCTCTTATTGAAATACTTTTTCCTGTACACTGTTTGAAGAAGGTGTCTTCTAAAAACTGGCAGTAGGTTTAGGAGTTGATTTTGAGTCTATTTTCAACCCAAAAAGGTCCAACTAGCTCATCTTTAATAATACCAGCCCATACCAGCATCCCACCTCCACCTTGCTGAGTCTGAGTCGAAATGGAGCTCTGTGCCCGTTACTGATCCAGCCAAAGGCCCATCCATGTGGTCCGTCGAGTCACTCTCATCAGTTGATAAAACCTTTGAAAAATCTGTCTTCAGATATTTCTTGGCCCAGTCTTGCCATTTCAACTTATGTGTCTTATTCAGTGGTGGTCAGGTTTCAGCCTTCCTTACCTTGGCCATGTCTCTAAGCACTGAACACTTTGTACTTCTGGGCACTCCAGGTAGGTTTTAGTTCTGGAATATGACGGCACTGGAGGATAATGAATTCCTGGTAGCTTCATGTTTGATTCTTCTCAAATCTTTGTCCATTGATGTGTCTCTTTTTCTCAACACGTTTATTGTGACCCTGTTGACTATTTGCAACAAAATGTTTGATGGTTCTGTGATCATGCCCCAATATCTTAGCAATTCAAGAGTGCTTCATCCGTCTGAAAGACTTTTTACATTTTTTTTTACTTCAGAGTCAGTTAAATCTCTTTTTTGGCCCATTTTGCCTGAGGAAAAAAAAGCTGCCTAATAATTATGCACACCTTGATATAGGGTGTTGATCTCCTTAGGCCACACCTTCCCTCATTACACAAATACACATCACCTGATATGCTTATATCCATTAAGGTTGAGGACCCCTGCATTAAGCTTTTAGATTTCTACAGCTTGGCGGTGGAAAATATGCGGGAAAATGATGATATGGTCAAAATACTCACTTGCCTAATAATTGTGCACACAGTGTAGAAGTGTGAGCTTCCATGTATAAAAATGTAACGGGTATCTGAACAGACTGTATAAGTTTTCAGGCTGGGTTTTATTAGTTTATATTGGTTATTTGAGACCTTTTGGTTGTTTATGTGGAAGTTAAAAGAGTTCCTTTCAAGCTTGTCGACTTCCCTACATAGTTATCTGGAGGTAATCCCAATTCATTAGTTGCTACCAGATGAGTGCCCATTTATCTAAGCTTATTAAAAAAACTTGTCATTTAAATGACAGCCATGAGGTGTCCTCCCCATGTGACATTTTATTTTTAAAGCTCCTTTCTATTTCATTGTGTGAATTCCTCATTTTTAATGGAGGCCTTGGTTTTTCCATAGCCAGTTCATTCTACTCTTCTCATTTTTAGAGAATCAACACTCGGGAAGCGCAGCTTTGATCAAGTTCTGACCGTAGAGCTGTGTGGCACTGCAGGTAAGGGCAGAATTTAGATTTAAGTGTTCATTATTTTTAAAGATGCAAATATAGAGAAAAGACTGTATCCAAAACCAGATTATCATATATTCCTGTATTTAATCATTAACATGAAGGACAAGGAATCTAGGCACCCCTAAACCCTATTTGATTTTCCCTTCCTTAAAAAACAACAACTGCAGAACAGCACATCTTTGAGTGACAAGTATTTTGGAACACTGTAGCCATCTTATAAAGGCAAAAGACTGAATACAAATAGCATTGCACATCCCCAGTTCAACTGTGTGATTTGAAGGCTCAACAAAGGGGTGGGAATGGATTAAAAAATAGACCTAACTCCTAATAGTAATGTCTCTTTATTCTCCTGGTCCTATACTGAAAGAGTTTTATCCTTTTGCTTCCTTGGGGGAGATAAGGTCTCACACCACCAACTACTCCTCCATACAAGCCTTCGGAAGAGGACCTATATAAGCCAGACATTCACCAGAGACCAGCACAGAAGACTGCTGCCATCACCAGCTCTGAGCCACAACCAATGATCAGTCATAAGCCAATTTCCAGAAAACATCAGAAAAAGCAACCAGTGCGGACAGAGCTGTATGCCCACCTGAGTCGGTCTGCTATTCACCCTGCTCACTCTGAGCAGCATGGGGTGTTGAAACGCCCGTTCTCACGGTCTTTTGGTGATCATGATTATTGCCAAGTCTTGAAACCTGAGTATTCGCTCCAGAGGAAGGTGCTAAGATCTTGGGAGCCCCTGAGCCATATAGAAAGCCAACGCAAGAGGCAAGTGCCTGACGTTCCCTATCAGGAGGAAAGCAACAAGAGTTTTGATAAAAGCTCAGTGAAGGAGGGCAGCAAACAGCTGAGGGACCAAGAAATCAGAGCCAGTTTGACCAAACACTTTGGTCTTTTGGACAGTGCCCTGGATGATGGGGAGGCCCTGTTCTTCAAATCTCCTGAATATGATACTGTCTTTGAAGACAGCTGCAGTGAGATTGGTTCTCCACTGGAAGAGGAGGAAGAAGAGGAGGAATGCTACATGAGTCCATTGGGTTCCAACAGATGTCTACACAGTAGTGCTCTTTCTAGGACCAATTTCCACTATTGCTCCCGAAGTAGATCTGATTCAGAGTCTTCATGCTGCAGAAGTAGGTCTCCAGTCAGCCAGCAGGCTTTCAGGTACATTCATTTGCAATCAGTACTGTTTTGGGGAAAGGTCTGAAATGGCCATAGCCAATTGCATTGGTTTGCATTGTTGATTGCATTGATTCAGACTATTGCACATTAAAACTTCATACACGTTAGTTACATTTTAAAATAATGCAGTGCTGTATGAATGGTGGCCCTTCAGTCAGCCAGGGGGACTGTAAGACTAAATTTTTAGAAATTTCTCAGGCAGGGTTATATATTTTCCTTATTCTTGATTTGCCGTGCAGTGGGGCTATGTCTTATAAGGCTAATTTAAAAGACACTGGGCTGAATTCAAAAATCCTGTGAGCAAAGAACAGAAGTGGGAGGAATTATTTTTACTGAATTAGTTCCTCCTCCAGACCTTGAAAATCTACTCCAGAAGATTGATGGACCTATTAGAACTGCACCAAAAATAGCCATGGCAGCTGCAAGGGAAATTGGGGAAATTTGCCTTTATTCTCTGATTTCGGAATACCAGCCTCTACCGGATAGATAGCATTCCTGAATTGGAAGGAGACTCTCCATGCATAGGTTTTTGAGAACCAATAGGAAAGAAGAGATATCCTGTTCAGACGCATAGAAATAAATGTAAGATTATTTGTAATGGAAATTAAGGCCAAAACCACAGTATGACCGGGCCTAAAAAATACTATATCTTCAGATTTTCAAAATGTATCGTGCTCAATTATTTACTTTTATTTACTTCTTTGCTCCAATATTTAGTGGTTGTCTGGCCACCTTTAAAAAAAATTCTAAATATTTATGAATCTATAGTATCCCATAGCATTTTGTATTTATTGTAAAATAGGTGAGACTGTTCCTGCAAGGAAGGAGTATTTTCTAGGAGTATTTTTCTGATTAACATTCTCATGTCTAAGATTCAGAACAATTGGAATCCCATTTAGGTCTGTATTTCTTGTTTTCCAATAGACGTGAAAATGGCAAGCGTTGTCAAGATGGAAATGTGAGCAGCCAGAGATTGATGGAGAAAAAAAGAGAAAAAGCCATTGTAAGTGACCTGTGACCTCTCAGTGAGTTTTGGGATGAATGAACTGGAAGTGGGCGGGTTTCCAGTCTGATCAGATGATTCCTCTTTCTGAAACACATTTGAATTTTGAGAGACAGGAGTTTCTACTCAAGAAGGGGTAATACAGGATGTTAGCTAGTTTTCCAAACTCTTATTACTTGGTGCAAGTGCAGGCTGATAAATGATAGTTTTCCCTCTGCCGAGAACTCAATCTGTTGCCAGTTTCTTCATTTTATTCCTTTTCAATATGTTTCTATTAGCTAGTCTTGGCACAGAGAGAACTATCCTTCCTCAGCATGCATTTCCACCGAGTAATAGAGTTTGGAATCTTGAAAAACACATATCGTTTTTAAAAATCATACAAATAAGAGGAGAAATAAAGTTTGCTGAAGTAGAAAAAAAGCTGCACTTGAGGCTGGTGGCTTGATATTCAGTATATCTTTTAATCAGCCAGACACAGATTTATTTAAGATAACCTTTATTGTCATTTTTTTACTGCAAGCACACTGGCACACATTGAAAATGAAAATTTGTTGCCTGCTCTCAAAAGAAAGCATGTATTAACCCATACACATACACAACACACATATACATGCTATATACATATCCATATATATATGTTCTGCTTTGGATATCCCAAAGCCTCCTTTCAGAAGTTAACAAGGAAAACAGGTCATGAAGAGGACGTGTAGCGTCGCAGACAATTCTGCGGACCCTTCTCAAGCATTGCTTATACGCTACGTCCTAAATAGAAGAGGGTGAACTGCCAATAATCTTTTATGCCATCCTCACTTCATCCTCATTTAGCATACTTAGAACTCATCTTTCTTCTGTTGGGAAATTTAAAGATGTTTAAAGTTTAGGTGAGAAAACCATCTCCTATCAAGATACTTAGTCAACTGGTTAAATAAGTTGTCTGCTTCATGTCCTCTTGAACATAGTTTCCTAGTATTAGTCTTCCTACATCAGTGGTTCTCAACCTGTGGGTCGGGACCCCATTTGGGGTCGATCGACCATTTCACGGGGGTCGCCAAGCAAGGCTGTCCGCCATTTTTTTGTCCGCCATTTTTTTTGTCCGCCATTTTTTTCCCCTTTTCCGGCGGGTGCCTTACCTCCCTTGGGCTGGGCCAGCTGGTGGTTGGCCTGCTCCATCTCTGCCGCTTGCCAGCTACGCCTCGGCTGGTGCAGGGGGCGGAACCACGCATGCGTGGCGCTCCCAGGCAGGGAAAGTCCTCAACTTACGACCGGTTGGGTAGTCCTCGACTTACGACCGGTTTAGTCCTCGACTTACGACCGGTATAGTCCTCGACTTATGACCGGTTGGGGTCGCGGCATTAAAAAGGTTGAGAACCACTGTCCTACATGGTCATCCTTCTTGTAATTTAAAATGTTAGGAGATGGTTCTTCGATGAATGGTTTGACGTCCATAAACAATGGACGCCTGTGCAGCATAGGAATCTTTTCAGCAGATCTGCTGGTGAACAGGAGGCCTCCTCCTGAGACGGCATTGTAAATCAGAAATGCTTCAGAGATTTGCTGTGGTATGATTTCCTACTCATACACCAAACCTGGTCTCCTTGCTCTGAAAAACTCTTTTTTCTTTTCTTTAAAAGAAAATGTGTGTTAGATTTAGTTTTAGTTTTTTAGGCCACTCTATAGACCAATTTAAAGCTTCCAAGAAAAAAAAAGTGAACAGCATTTTTAAGCCAATAATATAATTTAGTAGATTGTGCCAAAGGCCAGAAACGTCCATCAGACATCCATTACTGTGACTGGCTTGGCAAGCTTTAAAAAAAAATCAACAACAAAAAATTACTTGTGAATTAAATCCTTCTAAACTATTCCTGTGCATTCCTTCCTTTTTACAACTTACAATTCCTCTTTCTTGGATTTTCCATCCATTCTTTTCAGGTTCTTTGGAAACCTGGATTGATAGTAAAAAAAAAAAAAAAAATTCTGACTAATATGAGTTCAAAACCAAATGGAACAAAAGTGATTTGGCTCTTGTCTAAAATATAAAAGGGTACTATTTAATATTAAAGTGGAACTGGAGATATCAAGAATTTATCAGGACAATTGCATGAGCAATTTATCAGGACAATTGCATGAGCAATTTACTCTTGTCTTTAAGAGCCGTGGTGGCGCAGTGGTTAGAATGCAGTATTGCAGGCTAATTCTGCCGACTGTCGGCAATTCAATCCTGAAAGACTCGAGGTTGATTCAGCCTTCCATCCTTCCATCTGTAAAATGAGGACCCAGATTGTTTGGGGCAATATGCTGACTCTGCAAACTGCTTGGAGAGGGCTGTATAGCAGTGTGAAGCAGTATATAAGTCTAAGTGCTGTTGCTGTTAAACAGGGAGAAGGTCGTGTAGTATACATCCAAAATCTTGCCAGCAGTATGAGCTCTAGTGAACTGAAGAAGCAGTTTGAAGTGTTTGGAGAGATTGTTGAGTGTTGCATTTTGACCAAGAATAAAAGGTGAGTTTTCCTTATCTCATTATTAACCCTGGCAGCAACATTTTTTTGAAATCATGACTATTTGTAAATTAGCTGTGATATTCTATAATTAAAATTAAAATCGGACTCCAAAGTTTAGTAGCTGGATAATTCTTTTTCTTTGGAGAAACATCTACTCTGAGTACCCTGTGAATGCAAAGGTTGAGAATTAATTGAAATAGTGTACCTATTAAGAAGTAAGTTAAATAAGTTAAACCTTTTGCTGAATAAATATGTATAAGGATTGCAGCGTGAAACTCATTTTTTCCTCAACTGTATTATATTTGTTTTGGCTAAGAAACTGCCATTAAATTCCCTCATCATTTAATTCTGTAAGGACTAGCACCGCTGTGTTGCATAGAAGATGCAGCACTTCTTTGATGCAGCACAATGGATTACTATTACTTAGCATATGTGTATATAATTTAATTGTGCTACATGCAGAAGCAGAATTAATTTGGAGCAGTTCCATCCAAGCTTGAAAGTTTTGAGCTCAGAACTCTTCCAGAATGATCAGAATAGCACTGGTGCCTTATAATAATGTTTCAAGTGAAAAACAGGGCATTTAAGTTAAAAGATATTCTGTGTGTGTATATATATACACACATACAAGTAGTCCTCGATTTACAACAGTTCATTTAGTGACTGTTTTAAGTTACAACGGCACTGGAAAAAGTGACTTATGACCATTTTTCTACACTTACGACCGTTCCAGCAACCCCATAGTCACATGATCAAAATTTGGCTGCTTAGGAAATGACTCATATTTATGACAGGTGTCCTAGGGTCACATGATCACCTTTTGGGGCCTTCTTACAAGCAAAGAATGGGGAAGCCAGATTCACTTAACAACCATGTTACTAACTGAACAACTGCAGTGATTCCCTCAACAATTGTGGCAAGAGAAGTCATAAAATGGGGCAAAACTCACTTAACAACTGTCTCACTTAGCAACATAAATTTTGGGCTGAATTATGGTCATAAGTCAAGGACTGTATACTGTACATACATGCATAAAATTTTAGTGGGTAAATCATCTTTACTCAGTGCCTCTTGTCTGTTGCAGATTTATGTTACATAAATAGGCAACATAACAATGTATGTTATATTGTGTAACGGAAGGTCAATGTTTTGTAGTCTAATGGCTGTTAACTATCCTGAGCGGTGTGTAAGTGGAAGTAAAAATAATAAATAGCCTGGCTGGAGTGTTCTTTTCCAAGGCAGCTGGGAGATGCCAATGTAATCACTGCAGTTTGATTAATAGACTCTTGGATCCTAATTCCTATAAAGTTTGCATGAGATTTAAACGAGATGCTCTGAGCTCCTGTTGGAGAGACATGGAATAAAAATAAGGACAAATAAATAATGCTGCTCTGTTGGCTATGCTGGCATTCCCTCTTTTATTATCCAGGGGAGATAAATATGGTGTCATCACATACCGGTGTTCTGAGCACGCTGCCTTGTCCTTGAAGAATGGTGCTTCTCTGTGGAAAAGAAATGAGCCGTTGTTCCAGCTGGCTTATGGCGGCTTTGGACACTTCTTTTGGACCAGATTTACTGATTTGGGTAAGTCAACAATCATCTTGTCCGGTTTCATCATAACAGGCCTGATTTGGTAAGGGTGGTTGTACTGAATTAATTCATATACTGCAGGGTTTCTAAAACCTTGGCAGCTTCAAGCTGTGTGGATTTCAACTCCCAGAATTCCCCAGCCAGCATCCCTCACTTTATTTATTATCAAACAAAATTATATGGCCATCCAACTTACACACAGTGATCCTGGTACGGATATTAATGATGGTGGACACTAAAAAAATCCAAAGCATAAACTCTACACACTCCCAACAATCCTCATTTACATATCTTATTATCAATATTTAATATTTATTTACTATCTGATACATTTATTTCTATTTATTAGCACTGTGCTTTCTTTATACAATCAGAGGTAACCAAGTTTTTTTTCCCCCTCCAGAAATGACTGAATCAGAGTGGTTATCTTGAATCACTCACATATACTAATCATACTAATCCACTGATTATTTAACTGCAGATACTGAATTAACCAGAATTGATTAGATATATGTAGCGCATTAAGCCATGAGTCAGTGTTTGCAAATAATAATAGCTGGGTTTGTGCCTATACTTTATTAAAATGAAAGAAATCACATTAAACATTCCAAGGGTTTTTCTATTTGCTCATTTTCACAGACCACAAGTGATTTTAATTTATTTTCTTTCATTTTAATTTAAGCCCTCCTCCCCTGAAAGGGGAAGATAGCAACTATTGTAATTCCAGACAATTTAAATTAATCAACCATAACCGTAAAAAATAGTTAAATAGCACACAGTTATGAAATCAAATATAATGCTGTCACCCAAAATAGCAATCTGTATTAGGGAGAATGAATTATCCAATGCTGGCTGTTTTTAACAGCTTCCAGACAGAAATGTGGCCAACCTTTTCTCTTGAGGGACAGTTTTGTTCCCTCAGCCAAATGTCTCTTTAGAGAAGAACACAGGAGATAGCTCAACAGGCTACTCCTGATCATTAAATCTTGCCATTTCAGAGGAAGTGGAGATTTAGAGGTTTTCTATATGGCTTGGAAACATTATATGTAATATATACTATGTCTTAGTTGATCTCCTTGGGACCATATAACAAGTCCCTCCTTCCTTCCTTCCTTCCTTCCTTCCTTCCTTCCTTCCTTCCTTCCTTCCTTCCTCTATTTGACAGCATTTATCTTTTCTCTGTAGCAGATTCCAACACAGAAGAGTCCTCTCCAACTCCAGTAAAAAGCAAATATGAGACCATGGATTTTGACAGCCTGCTGCAGGAGGCCCAGGAAAGTTTGCATCGGTAACAGCCTTAACCTTTGAGGAATACCTTAATACCTCAGTCAAGGCACTTCCAATATGTTTACGTTTTCAAGAAATGATTAAGTATATAATGAGAGAGAGAGAGAGAGAGACTGCTGACCCTTTAAATTGATGTTTACATTGAACAAGCTGCTTCTGTCTGTGAGTTCCCATGGTGTTGATGTTCCACTGCCACGAGTTAGTATCTCTGCTTCTGATTGGTTGTGTTAGGATGAGCCTGCAAAAGCCTTCTGTCCTCTTCTTGTCCAAACCCCTTTCTCTGACTGGCCCCATTTCCGCCGTGGAGTGGCAGCTGTGTTCACCATCACTTTTATTTCATTTTTGGTCTGTAGTGTGTGATTATGAAATTGTTAATTGTGAATAGAATCAAGATTGTAAACTAATTTTTAATAGAAGAAAGAAATATATACTTATAATGTATTTATGGCTCAGATGTACTGTAATTCAGATTTATTGTACCGCTTCCTTGATTTTTAACTATGCACTGTAATGAGGCACTTGCCCCTCAGCAGATGCAGCCTTTCCAGAATGGTTCCCTTCAGGGAGTGGCTCATCTGAAAATCATAAAGAATCCATTTTGTCCTTGATTAGCCGAGGGGGTTATTGAATGGCAGTGTGGAATTGCTGTATAAACCATTCTTTCCGTTTGTCTGGACTGAATGCTGGGATCACCACTCCTTAATCATTGACTGCATGAGACATGACAAACTTGTGATTCCGCAGTCCAAAGCGGACTCCGGGTATTTTGACAACTGAGCCCTCAGATGCCAAAAGATAAAATCAAGTGACAAATGAGAAGGTGACAGGGTATGTTTTTCCCTCTTCCCTCATGCTGAAGTGATAACCTGTCCTCCCAGCCAAGTAAATGATACATGAGAAAAGCCTTGCTAAAGTCCTTTCTGATCAGCACCTTGTTTCCAGGGGGCCACCAGATGCTTCTGAGAAACTCACAAGCTGCCCAAGAATGCAATTAATCTGCTACAAGTGGTGATCTAATGTCCACTGCTGCTGAATTGAGAAGTACATAACAGCCATTATAACTAATAGCCATTGGCCTATTTATCGTACATGTAAAATCTCTTGTGAGACAAAGAAGGTTGGAAAGTGAGCCAAACAAGTTAAGGCTCCTAAGCATTAGACCCCAACATCAGAATAGCCATTGTTTCATGACATCATGACATAAAGTCACAAATGTAGTTTATTTTAAGTCAGATCCCCAGTAGCCTCAGGAATAGATTTCTGGCCATCTGGTCATTCAACCAAAGCAAAATCTCTTGTCTGATGGATAGCTTGGGTTTGTTTGCAAGACCTAACAGAAAAAATGGTCAAAAGCATCCTTGCACCTTGACCCAGCATCAGCAGCATATCTCTGTCCCATGTTAAATACTGCTCTCTGCCTGAGCAAATTTGAATAAGCCATACTGTACAATATATAGCCAGTCGCATATGGTAACTGTATTGTTATTTTTTTATTCTACATGTCTGTTTGCCTGCATCTTCCTTCCTTTTGATTTTCCCTCAGCTTAGAACTCTTGCAGTCTACTCATTGATCAGCTTTTCCTAAATTCAAACCCTGAGATGTCCATGGGAAGGGAATCAGCCTTGTGCAACTTAGGCTGATTTAGACAAATGGTTTCTGGAGAAAGAGGCCGTCTGATGAGGGTAAATACATGTGGAGACCTCATTCTCATACAGTACACTGTACCAAATGCATCATTTGCCAGATGCGATGTGGCTGCTCTTGTGCTAATTGACATCCAGCAAAGGAGAGGGAGACACTAAATAAGCAATAGGAACATCAAGAGAGCACTTTCGAGTGGGGACCAAAGAGCATTGCTAAGTCCTCCATCACTCACCATATCTTGATTCTGTTCTTCACAAAGATGAGACCGATGGGGTTCAGCCATCCATGTAGATAAAATACAACAGCCTTAATTCTGTCAGTAGTTAGATTCTCTTCCCTTAAGGTCTCTTTAGCATCAGCATGTATTTGATTAGGAATCAAAGGACAAAAACATCGTGATTCTGTCCCAATTCATGTTGTCCCAAAGACTGTTTGTCTGAATAGTCCCCCATTCTCTTGGTAAGGACTGTACATATCAAAGGCACCATGAGATCAAAGAATTTCTGATTTCATCCTGAATATTTATTTCTGGGATGTGAGTGGTGATCTGGAGCTTTCATAATAACAATCCTGATTTCATATGGCAGCTAATATAATTTCTATGCTACTTGCAAAATTCACGGTCACAATGTTTTGGCTAACATGTCACTTTTAACGTCTCTGTTTAGGAACTTATTAAAGGATTACAAGGCCATTAGATCTTCTTGTGATCAGTCCAGAACAAGATGAAGTATCTGCTATAGACAAGTGCCTCATTGTAGCTTTGCCTTTTCTGTCCTAGTATTTCCTTACCACAATGATGTTTACATGTGATTGCTATAGAGCTTACCGTAGAATGTACATAGTGACACATTTAGGGTGGGTAGGACTGTCCTGTCCTGTGCTGTACTGATGTTTTCAGAGAACAATCAAACAACAACAAAATAATAATAACCACCCCAGCAACTTGTAAGTGGAATTCTTCCATCTCCTGGCTTGGTTACAAGAGAGATCAAAAAGTTCAGAACTAGGATTGGTCAGAGAGATGGAAAATGCATCAAATTTTAAGCGTGTTGAAAGTGTTGAATGCAGCTGGAAAGAAAGAGTTAGAACAGCCCTCCTGCTGTTTGGAAGGTGCTGCTTCTAGCCCAAACTTGCTTGCAAACGTGGCTTTATCTGCTTTTATATCTCAAGTTATTTTTCAGAAGCTGGACTTGCCAGTGATATTAGGGCATGCAAGACATGCTCCTTGAAGGGAAGGAAGATCCTGTAATGCACACAGCCTCTCGGTCCTAGCTGTAGGGAGAGGTGCAATAAGTGATCTTTGTTTTGCCTAAAGCCTATAAAAATATATATTTTTTGTGCGAGAAACTTCACTAGGACTTTATGCAATATGCACGTATGTGCACAAACGCACACATGAACGAGAGGAAGACAATGGGCATTGAGCCCTTCAGCATCTACAAGTTCAGTAGTGTTGAATGTAGAACCTGAGTGGGATGGTCTGCAAAGGACGCACATTTCTCCCGGTTGCAGCATATCAATACCCGCAGCTTATGCTAAATTTGCTATTGGAAGCACAGCTAGTTTGCATCACCCCACACAGGGAGCAATTTGTGAAAATCCTTTGTTCATATTTATTCTTAATAGAGACTTGGGAATTTGTAGTGTATGACAGAAGAATTTTAGGCAAACGCCTGGATCAGAGAACAGGGAGAACAAAGTAGAGAGGTACACCAATGTTTCTATGAATAAATAAGTACGATGCACTAAACGTTTGATATGTAGAGCACTCAACTGCAGCGCTACATAAATATTGTAAAGAGTAATTATGGAAGGCTGTTGAAGAATGGCCACGTTCCATATGACAAAGGAAGTGATAAGATCGAGTGGATAAAATACCCAGCTTTTATACTCCTATCTCCGAATATCAGAGTATCCAAATAATAGACTTGTGATCCACTAAACCAAACTCAGACTGTCATCCTGATTTTGCTCCTTGCCTAGGAGTGTGAGAGATCTCATAGGCTTGGATAGGCAGCTGATATTCTATGGTTACATTGGCGGGTCAACAAATCTTACGATACAACATGAATCTTTTGTCACGCAGTAAGAGAACTGTTTGTTTTCCTTAGGACAAGGAATTAAAATGAGCTTTATATCTTGCTCCAGCCATCCTTGCTGCTAATGTGTTCTGGCAGATTCCTCCTAAGGGCAGTTATATTCAGCACATTTTGATTCTCCTAGGATAGTACAAAGAGGCCCGCTGGCTAAAAATGACTGTACGCTGCCTCTTAGCTTAGGGCAGGGGTAGGCAACCTTGGCTCCATAGCTGGCTCAGGAATTCTGGGAGTTGACGTCGACGAGTCATAAAAGAGCCAAGGTTGCCTACCCCTGGCTTAGGGGGATTCATTTCCAAAGGGATCATGTTCTTTGCCCCTTTTATAAAGAGGGTGCTAGCGGGGTCCTTTCTGCAAAGTTTGCCTAAATTTCTTCTGTACTTGTTTTAATTATATGCATAATGCCAACACCCCCATGTTCATGGGGCAGGCCTAGCCATAACGATGAGCAACAGAACAAATGAAGATCTTGTGAGGACACATGAAAAACCAAATAAAGAGAATTAATCGTCCAGGGTTTTTCGGAACAAAAGGGTGTATTAAGAGAGGCAATCATGAGGGAGACATTTATTTTTTTAAACAAAATTATATATGTTTGTAGATGTGTGTGTGTGTGTGTGTATGAGAGAGAGGAAGAGAGAGAGAAATCCCTCCTAATTTTCTTTTATAGTTTTTTTTAATTATTATTATTTTGGAAAATCAGGAGAAATACCTTAAGGATAGGAATAAGTCACAAGCCATTTATTTTCTCTCGATCCTTTAATAACGATCGCTTTATTGTAAAACACAAGTCAATATTGACAAGTCAACTGAAAACTTTGGCAGAAGTAAAACAGCCGTGTCGTAAAGGGACTGCACAAGAAGAACTGGGTTCTGTATCTTATTTTCACTGCCAGTTATTCAAACAGTTGTCTTATTTTCCCTCTGACCTATTCTACCTCCATAAAACTGATATCAGCTTTGTCTTTGTTTTTGTGGTGAACACTCAGTTTTCTCAGTAGCCCATTCAAAAAAGCCATACAAGAGTCCGTATGAGTGTGTGCATGGCTGTGTTTAATATGGCATTAATTTACTATATGGAAATAGGAAGCAGTTTAGCATTTCCTAAGTTTATCTTCACAAGATGTGTGATATTCTTTACCAATGTAAGCATACCAAGCCTCTTTTTCATTTCCATGTTTTCTGAATTTTTTTGCAAAGAGCTATTTCTTTCTCATTTGTGTAATTTGACTTTTTTTATATATAATTCCCTACACTATGTCATTGATTTCCATATAGCAATTGGG